AATCAAATCAAATCAAATCAAATCAAATCAAAACTAAATATTTAAGTCACAAGTTAAATATTAGTTTGTTAACTAAACATTTAATTTGCAAGTTAAATATTTCATTTATAAACTATGACATTTATAAATATATGAATCATATGGTGAAAAACTGACTTTGAAAAATAAATCTGTTCCTTTGTTCTTATAAAAGGCTAAATAACACAAAAATGTTGGTGGTAATTTTTGACTGTGTAACTTTACAAACGGCACCCCATATGCTTGGTTCATCTAATCGTTCTTCTCTGAAGGTTTCATTATGAACTGTGCAGTGGGTCATGAGATGTTTTACTAACAGACAGACAGAAGCCTAAATTTTTAAACAAATATCTTGAGCAATGTGTTAGTGGTCAGAGTATCTCTTATCTGTGTCAGGTACCCTGAATTTAGTTTAAAATCCACTCAGTAATAAGACATTTTGCTTTAACCTTGATCTCATTGTGATTTCAAAGACAAATTGCTGAAATAATAAAAAAGTTGTGCAGTTATCCTCGTCTTTTATCGGTTTAATTTTTAGCCGGTTACATGCTAACGTGACTGTATTGTGCAATCATTAGGAGAGGTCAGGTTCTGTTGGTGTGTAAGCTGCTAAAACATTTTTTCTAAATGCATGCAAAGTGCATGTGGTGCATTTGTTTTGCTTTCCCAGATGGTGGAGTTTAGAGGGGTTTTGACATCCATCAAGGGCAATTCAACAGGAGGGTGTGTTGTCGTTGTTGTTGTTTTTTTCACAAAAGAAAATCCTCAGAGAGTCAGCGTGTGCCATGATGCCATCTAGGCCCATGTTTCTGTTCTGGGAACATTACGTAAGAGCAAAACATTACCTGATTTTTATCCTCACAGGTCATAAGAGACACGATTAACTTCTAACTAGATTTAAATTGTCATTAAATAGCTTCATTGTTTAATGAATGTAAAGTCTAGCTTCATAAACAATCTGAAAATGATTGTTACACAACAAAGTGCTAATCGTTTGTGTAACACATTTCTGATCCACGTATAGCTTAACTGGCATTTTAAATATGCATGCTGAAAAAAAAAACCTTTTGTTCAATTTGTTTGCCCGTGACATGCCTAACCATCAAATACAAAACTCAAAACAGTTTTTTATTTTAGAAACCTTGCATAATGCATGAGATTTTACCCATTTTGTCACATAAGTGGCATATTTTATTTTAAACTTAAAGCCAAAGTGAAACAGGAAGTGACATCAAAAGGGAACCTTTTAAGAAAAGGAACTCTCTGCTCTTTGTTTATTGAAACAATTTTATTTGAACTCGGACTCATCTTCATCTCTCTGATAGTGACTCAAAATAATCTAAAGATACATCAGATTCTTCTCTACAGTCTGTGTCGTTAGTCATTTTATCAAAGCTCTGTTCACATGCAGAAATTCCCCTTTGACATCACTTCCTGTTTCTGCACATGCAAATATCTCAACAACTGTTTATCACAGCAGTGGGAAATTATTTTTGCAATATGTTATTAATGTTATCTTGTCCTATAATGCCTTTATATTTATTCCAAAAATTTTATGTCATGGGAACTTTAAATACATATCCACCTCCCTCCCTCCCTACTCGCCTACCAACCTACTGATGACCTACCTACCAACCTATGACCTACCTACATGCCTGCCTACCTACCTACCTACCTACCTACCTACCTACCTACCTACCTACCTACCTACCTACCTACCTACCTA